CCAAGTAACAACAGAAGCCCTCCTGGTGCAGAAATGCCTCCCGTAGAAGCTCTGAAATCTGCCCGTTGTTAACTCACTCACTATCTACTGTCATAATGCACAAATGACCCAACCTACAGATTATAGCCTGTGCTTCCAGGTTCTGAATTTCTCAAGGGCGGGGACCTTGTCTTTTAATTTTTGCTTATTTTGCAGCCAGTGAGGTGCAGTTGAGAGACCAATGATCTCTGGAATCAGAGAGTCCAAGATTGAAACCCTGATCCTCTATCATCTATCAAGGTGACTCGCTTTGGGCAAATTACTTAACTTTCCTTTCTCAGCTCTCTAAGTTTATAAAATGGGAGTGATGTGATCAAATGTATTAAAAGTGAAAAGCAAGCCTTGAGGTGAAGGGGTGGAGCTTTGGAAGACATGGGCAGATTGGAACGTCTGGAAGACCAGGGTACTTGGCCCGGTGCTCCCACACTAGAGGAGAGGAACCACCTCAGCAGGATAGCAAGGCTCTCAGCTAGTCACTAATTCCCAGACCATGGGAGGAGAGGGCGGATGGGAGGTGTAGAGAGGAGTGCAGCAGAAATAATGCTGTTTTTCTAAAACTTTAAGAGAAGCACAGAAGGTACCGAGATGATATAGCAAGGTGCAGGTTAAACTGGCACTGAGCCAGGCCTTTTCTACTCGTCTGACCAGAACAGAAGACATCGGGAAACCTGGCCCTCCACAAACCCTTCGGAGTGTAGCAAATGAGGAGTGAAGGCACTGTTGGGAGCACCTGGCAGGAAAGTGCCAACTATGTACCAAGGGGACGCTAGCAATTGTCCAGAGGTAGGTATGAACCATGCAGAAAAGACCCTGAGGTCTTCTGAGGAAAAAGGAATTGAACCTCACATGAGCCAAATGCTCAGGTCTTTGTCTCTCTCGCTATCTCTGGCCAGCCCTGAAAATGTGTGGATTCCTCAGATACATATACTAATTTCTAGAATAAACACGAAGACACCAATATTTAATTAACCCAAAAGAGATAGGTGTTCTGATTATTTAGGCTATGTAACAAACCACCCCACATGTAGAGGTGTGCAACAGTAATTGATTTTGCTCAGACATTATGTGAGTCAGGAACTAGGACAGGACTCAGTGGGATCTGCTTGTTCCTATACCAATGGTCGGCAAACTCATTAGTCAACAGAGCCAAATATCAACAGTACAACGACTGAAATTTCTTTTGAGAGCCACATTTTTTAAGCTTCTTCTAACGCCACTTCTTCAAAATAGACTTGCCCAGGCCATGGTATTTTGTGGAAGAGCCACACTCAAGGGGCCCAAAGAGCCGCATGTGGCTCATGAGCCGCAGTTTGCCGACCTCGGCCCTATACCATGATGTATGGTATCAGAACTGGAAGATGAAAGTCAAGGATATAAAATCAGCTGAAGACTCTTGTTTTTCATGTCTGGAATTTGACGCTGGCTCACAGCTGGGGGCATTATTTCTCCTACATTGGGGTCTAAAAGTGTTCTTTTGGCAGGGGCTGGTTTGGGTTTCCTCATAGCTTGGTCTGTGTTCCAAGGGAAAACCTCCTGAGAGAAAACCAAGTAGAGACTATATCCCTTTTATACCGTAGCCTTAGAGGTCATACCGCGTAAATCCCTGTCATTTTATATTGGATGTGCCCATCAAAGGTCAAGTAGAGAGAACATAGCCCCCAGTCAGGGCTGTCAGGGTCCCAGGCCACTCCAGGGTGAGATGCCCCCCTGGTGGGGACAATGGGGAGTCCCGAAGCTGATGGACCCCCGTGGTTGTCTTAAAGAAGGGCTGGCTGTCCCCTGCTTCCCCCTCCCCTCCCATAGGGTAGGAAGCAGCCTGAGCAAAAGGTGATCTGGGGCTGTGGGTGTTAGGCCTTTAACCCAACTTCCAGAGATTGGAAGTCCATGCATCTGTGTGAGGAACTGGGCCAGTGTGGCTCAGTGGTCAGGTGAACAACAGTGAGGCGTCTTGAGAACAAGGGGGAGGGCCCAGGTGACCAGCAGGAAGTGGTCAAGTAAACAAGGGCCATGGGAACACCGGGAAGAGGTCAGGTGAACACAGGCTTGGGGACAGCCTGAAGTGGTGACATGGCCGAGGGGGAGAGCTAGGCCCAGGTGGACAGCCGGAAGCAGTCCAGTGAGCACAGGTGGAGGGACAAGAAGGAAAGCGAGGGAAGGAGGACCCAGTGGCCAGCTGGGCATGGTTACGTCATCAGGGGAGGGGCCAGGTGGACAGCCGGAAGTTGGTCAGGTGAGCCAGTGCCTGGGAAACGCCCAGGAGTGGTCTGTGAGCCCGGGGATGGGGTCAGGGGCCCGCCGGAAGTGATGTGCAGCCTCAGTGTGCGGGACCCAGATGAACACCCAGAAGTGGTCTGGTGAGCCCGAGGGGGTGGGGCCGGTGGCCAGTTGGACTTGATTACATCATCCAGGGGGAGGAGCCAGGTGAACAGCCCGAAGTGGTGACTGACCGCTGGGATGGGCTGAGCCCCCAGAGCCCAGGTGAGCACCCAGAAGTGGTCCCGTGAGCCAGGGCTTGGGGCCCCGTCAACAGCTTGAGGTGGTCAAGTGGATAGGCTGGTGGGGCCACCTGCATGCAGAGGAGGGTCACAAGGGCACGCAAAAGGCCCACTTTCCTGTGGTCCGGACCCTGGATGGCACCAAGAAGGTCCCTGTCTACAAGGAAGGGTGTCCCCGTGAGTGAGACAGAAAGCTGGGGCCATCTGTGACTCTGGAGGGGCCAGGACGTGACTCCCAGAGGGAAAGGGTGTTCAGGGGCTTAACGCCACTCTGGCCAGGATTTCAAAAACCCCAGGCAGGGCTGTCTGGGCCGCAGGCCACTCCAGGGTGAGATGCCCCTGTGATGGGGATGATGGGGAGTCCCGAGGCTGATGGACCCCATGGCTGTCTTGAAGGAGGGCTGGTGGCTCCCTGCTTGCCTCCCTCCCCACGGGCTCGGAGGCGGCTTGTGAGCGGTGATCTGGGGCTGTGGGTAGTTAGGCCTCTACCCCAGCTTCCAGCGACTGGGAAGTGCACCCCTCCGCGTGAGAAGTTCATGAGCCAGTCAGTGTGGTGTAGTGGTCAGGTGAACAAGGCGCAGTGTCTCCAAAACAAGGGGAGGGCCCAGGTGACCAGCTGGATGTGGTCAGGTGAACAAGGGCCTGGGTAACACCTTGAAGTGGGGAGGTGAACAAGGGGTTGGGGCCCGGTTGCCAGCTGGAAGTGGTCTTGTCATCAGGGGAAGGGGCTGGGTGGATAACAGGAAGTGGTTGGTGGGCTGGCCAGGTGGACAGCTGGAAGTGGACAGGTAAAGAAGGGGATGGGCCCAGAACCAGCTGGAATTGGTTATCAAGGGGAGGGGCCAGCTGGACAGTGGGAAGTGGTGAAGTGTCAGAGCCGGTAGGCTGGGACCAGGAAAACAGCCCGAAGTGGTCAGATGAACAAGTGCCTGGTGCCAATTCAGTGGCTGGAAGTGGTCAAATTCATAGGCTGGTGGGGCCACGTGAATGTGGCGGAGCAAGTAAACTCCCACAGACCCCCTCCTCATATTGGGAGAAATAGTAGTCACAATGTTTTCAAAAAGCATGTGGACCCTAGCTAGTTTGACTCCGTGGATAGAGAATTTATCTGTGGCCTGAAGGGTCCCAGGTGTGATTCCAGTCAAGGGCATGTACATTGGTTTCAGGCTCCCTGTCCTAGTCAGGTGTGTATGGAAGCTACCAACTGTCTCTCTCACATTAGTGCTTCTCTCAGTCTCTCCCTCTGCCTTCCACTCTCTATAAAAATCAATGGGAAAAATATCCTCGGATGCATTGAAAAATTTAAAAATATTAAAAATAACTTTTTTGGATGAAATACATGTATGCACGTCTATTTGCACAGCTGTCTTTGGGAAATATAATCTGCCACAATAGGAAAAGAGAAATAAAAGATTAAATAATAAAGGTCTAAGTATATGTGTCTAGGAAAAAAACAATATATGTTATGGTATTGTCCATGGCTTCAGGCATCCTCTGGGGGTCTTGGAATATATCTCACTTAGATATGTTATTCTCTAGCCATATCTAAAGTCTGAACAAAAAATAATTCCTGATTAACCACATCCTCCTTTAATCATTTTGTCATTCAGAACCATTTGAGAAATTTCCACAAATTAAGTCCCCAAAGTGTACAAATACTACCCTCCTGGATATTCATAGGTACTCAAGGGCATTTTTAAAAGTTATAGGGAAAAAAAAAAAGGTTTGAAATAAACACTATCTCTTTTAAAGAGAACACCCATTTATAGAATCTGGTATATTTATTACAGAAAAAGTCCCAACACTTAATAATTGGCACATATTCTTCTTCTTCTTCTTTTTTTTTTTTCATTTATAATACACTAAGGAAATGGCAAGGCAGAAAAACAAATTTCACCTTTAAAAAAATTAAAAACACAACCAATTCAAGAAATTTACTTTAATTTCAACAGAGATTACTTCGGAATGAACAGAATCACTCGATACTATCTCTAGTTGTAACATCTTTCTATAATATCCCCCACAAACTTTTATATTTCTATTATACCTATCTAATTTGTTTGCTCAACTCTATATACACTGCCTATCATACTACCTTAAAGAGTACTGTCAGAATTAAAACATTTTCTTGCCTATGAAGAATGCAACCACTTCTGAACACAACACGCCATGGCCTTATATTTTAAGCCCAAGTTAGTGTCTGAAGAAGGAATTTTTCACAAATTATTAATGACCTATTTCTATTTTGTAAAGTTTCAGCAAATGTGAAAAAAATGAAATCTTGTTATTTTGTCAATTCATGATGTTATGAGAAGAAGAAAAAAAAATAATGCATTCTTCCACAGGATAAGTGGTTTTAGAGAACAGTTCTGATAGTATTTCAAAGTATCAAAAGGTCTGACAGGTAGCCTCCTTGTTGAGGGGGGGTTCAATGATTCAATAATTTCAATTCCTCTTCTGAACTGCTCAGTAGCCCCAAGTGATTTTTATATTGGGAGGCAGATTGCTGGCCACAAGTTCATCAAATTTAGATCTGTCTTGAACAGGCACCTTGTAGAACTCAAGGACGTCTCTGACCCTGCACATCTCATGGAGCCTGGAGTTGGGCACCGCGTGGCCCAGGTCATCGGCTAACCGTGTCAACAAGCTGAACTTCAGACGACCATCGTCCAGGGAGATGTCCTGCCAGCTGCTAGCAGCCGATGAGCCAAAAATGTCTTTGACGCTGGATTCCAGGCGGCTCTGGAGATCTTCGGGTGGCGCGTACGTCCGGCTTCGTAGGGGCGGACACGCCAGGAGAGGCTCTTTCTTCACCTCCTCCTCCACGGTCTCGGCCACCACGGGCTTTTTCTGTTCTCTGCAATGATCAAACACGAACATGTGACCCTTTGGCTCACGGCCTTCGCGAAGCTGACAGCCTCCACAAGTGGATGGGCCCCGCCGCCGCCGCTCGCGGACACTGGCGCTGAAGTCCAGCGCGGAAGCCTAAACGCGCTAGGTCAAGCGCAGGACCAGGGATTCGTCCCTTCATCTTCCTCCATGGCTTCCCTTACTTCCCATGACTGTGACCCCACCACCTACCCTTTCGCTTTACCTGAATCGAGACCAAAATTCTCGGCGTGGGACCCCTGCGATCATCCACGTGAGGCCTTTTCTCGAAACGCCGGGCACTAAGGCCGCCGCCATCTCGGTGGAGGGCTACCCGACGAAGCTCCACCCCCGGCCGGACAGGGACGCTCCAAGACTAGCCAATCGGGTGTAAGCTTAGTGGCAGACGTTCTCCGTTCCTAGTAAGCGTCTCCCGCGGTATGCCGGGAAGTGTAGTCCTGAGCAGGCTGGACCGCGGCGCGCTCTCGGAGCATGACGGGAGTTGTAGTTCGGCGGAGTCCCGGGAAGGTTCCGGGTGACGCCTTCTGGTCTGGGGGCGGGCGGTCAAAGCGCTCCTGGGCTGAGAGGAGGAGAAACTGACAACGGGGAGGAGGCTCTAGCGGGGCCTGGAGGGCTGTGCGACCAGCAGGGGAGGGGAGTTCGGGGGTCTGGGGGCGGCTAAGAAGCGCTTCTGCAATGCTGCTGGGGTCGTGACCGCTCGGGGAACCTAGACGGGACCTGGCCAGATCCAGCCTGGAGGCCTCTCCCTGGTCGGGCCTAAGCTGCCAACTGGTCCGATAGGCCTCACCAGAGACTCCTTTCCGTGCGCGCTCCAGGTTCCTGCCCGAATTTCTGGCCAGGAGATGGCCTCCCCGAGCCCCACGCTGGACCCAAAGGTAAGTCGCCCCTCCGGGTCTCCCAGTCCTCTCAGCAATACTCCAGCTAGGCCGCGCTCCACAGCTCCCTTCTCTCTCTTCCTCTCCCCCCCTCTCCCCCAATAGCGGTCTTGGGGCCCCGTACAGGGTGAGGAAGTAGCCTTCCCTGCTGCTCAGGGTGCGGTTCGCGATTAAGCTGCCCCCCCCCCCCCAGGCTCCTTTAGATCAGGAGCGACCTGATAAGTTAGTAAGTGCTCCCTTCTAGGGCTCTCATTTGTCAGTGTGCCAGGGGAGGCATCCTTCTGGACCCTCCTCTGTGCCTTCTGTGCCTGTCACTACGCGTGGATCCACAATAGGCGTTTAGAGAACTTCGTGGAATTGAGCTGAACAGGATCACAAGCCAGTGCGAAGAGAGAATCAGAATGGGGTAATGAGGTGAAGAAAGCTTGAGAGGTCCTTGGCGAAGCTTTCTAAAATCAAAATGTTGGGATATAATTATTAAGCCACAAAAGCCTTATCCTTAGGCCCCTGGCTCCCAAGGACAAGGATCCAGCTCGGTTATTCTGAGGTGCCTGTCGGAGTCGGTTCCCAGAACGGGAGGCCGTTTGGAACTCTTAGTTCCCATGTTCCTTCTAGCCTACCCCGCCCTGGTAAGTGCCACTGTCAGGGGTAAACAGCAAGGGCTGACCACAGAAATGCTACTATTTTAAGGGTTGCTGAGATTTGAGGATGTGGCTGTGTTTTTTACCCAGGAGGAGTGGGATTATCTGGATCCAGCTCAGAGAAGCTTGTATAAAGATGTCATGATGGAGAATTATGGAAACCTGGTCTCACTGGGTAAGAATCTGCTGTTCCTCTGATTAAAATATCTGAGAGGCTGTCAGACAACAGACTCTGAGAACACTTGGACCAGTACCAGTACCAGAACTGCTTTGTTCCAAACTTCTGATTCAAACCTACCAGCCATTCATTGTTTACGTGACTCTGACCCCTTGAATCCTTGCAGTGACCAAAATACAAAGCCTTTCTGGCTTCCTGGCTTCGTAATATCTTTCCCACATTGCTCTGTACTTTCCCTCCTGGCTCATCCTCCCACTGCCTTCCTCCCACCCCTCGTCACCGCCTTCTGGAGCCGCTGTTCCCCTTCACATAATGTTCCTTACCCTTCCTGGCCTTAACTGAAACCTGGCACTGTCCCAAGGACACCACTTCTTTTGGGAGGGACTGCTTATTCTCCCACATCCTCTTCCTTTCCCATCCTCTGTCTCAAGGCTGGAAGGGAAAAATTGCTCTTCTCCCAGCTTTTCCAAAGCATTCGTTTTCCAGCTTCAAGCACAATATCTCCCCTTTGAGGCCTCAGCAGTCTTGCTCTACCTACTCAATTCCTTTTCGCTGCCATTTGTCAGCTTTTTTTGGCTCCTCACACTTAGACTTGGTCACAGGTTTCATAGTCCTCTATGCTAACCTATATCATTGATGATACAGTCATTCCTTAAGCCTCAGAGTACCTTGATGACATTGTCTTCAGGGACCCTGCTTTCCTTTTTTATTCAGCAACTCACATCAAGGATCATATCCTTAATTTTATCGAAACTGGAGCTTACTATAACTTCTTCCTTTCTGTTCTTTCTCTCTTACTCCTTTCCTAATAAACCTGTTCATTCTTAATAATGTTTCCTGTTCCTTGACTTCTCTGTTGTTGTTTTTTCTCATTTTTTAAAATATATTTTATTGATTTTCCACAGAGAGGAAGGAAGAGGGATAGAGAGCTAGAAACGTCGATGAGAGAGAAACATCGACCAGTTGCCTCCTGCGCACCCTCTACTGGGGATGTGCCCGCAACCAATGTACATGCCCTTGACCGGAATCGAACCTGGGATCCTTCAGTCCACAGACCGACACTCTATCCACTGAGCCAAACCGGCTTCGGCTCTCTCCTCATTTAATTCGTGAATCTGTATTTGAAGTTATCACCAGCATTCTCTTGTCTACCTTGTCATTATGCTCTACCCATTCTGCAAGCTTGAAATCCTGTATTCATTATAAAATCCGCCTTTTCTCTCCTCCCTGAGTTACTAAACACAGCAGGAGAAATTCTTTAACTGAAAGGATTGATATCTTGTATATATGCATGGTTTTTCTTCTAGTCTCCACTGAGTTTTTACATCTCAACAAGTTTTTATTCTTGATTTTGTCATTCCCCTGTTTCTTTAGTGATTATTTCAAAAACAAGAGTTTTCTTACAGTCCATCACTGAGTAGCAGACCTTACCTTCTGTTTCACCAAGAAGAGAGAGGCCACTAAACATGAACTCAACTTTTTAGCCCCTCATCTGTACACTTAAGGCTGCCCCTATCTTCCTGCTTCGCCAACTACTTAGACATCAGTTATCCTTTGCTTTTTCTCCTCGTTAGTTTCTGTCTCTATTCCTTCTCTTCTGGTGTCTTTATTCTGATAATAGGTATGTTCATGGTTCTTTCAATTGGGGAAAGAAGAAGGAAAATAAAAAATTTTTTTTTTAAAAACTATCCTTTGAGCCACAATCTGCCTCTTGTTGCTCCCTATAACCTGCTACTTATTCTCTTCACAACCAAGTTTTTCTATGTGTAGTTAATGTGTTTTATACTTTTTTCTCTAAACTCTTTTTTTTTTTTTAAATCTCTATTACTCCCATTTAATTGTTTAACATTGATCTATAGCCCAGTTGTCCAATGCAAAAGACTCTCTTTGGACCTTATTTTTAAGTTCCACCTCTCTATAGCTATTTGAAATTCATTATTGTTTCCTTCAGTTGCCTTGCACTCTCAGAATTCCTCTCAGTCTATATACTTTCCTTGGTGGACCTTATCTATACTTGATTCATCAGCTACCATCATTTGATGGTAAGTCTCATATCTTTCTCTCTACCTAAGAGAGATAATATGGAGCCTAACTGTCTAAATAAAAATCCTGGTTCCACCACTTACTGGTCTTATAACCATGGGTCAACTACTTAACTTATCTGTGCCTCAGTTTCTTTTTTTTATAAAATGGGAATGATAACAGCACTTACTTCTTAGGGTTATTGTGAGCATTACCTGAGTTAATATATATAAAGCACTTAGGACACTGACTAGCATATAGTAAGTACAATATACATGTTGATTGCTATCATCACTACTATTGTCATTTTCTTTGTTGAGCTCTGAATTCCTAGTAATCTCTTTTTGAAGACCACACAAGATACCTGACAAATCTCAAATAATTCATTAAAATCTCAAGGACCTCTTCTTCAGAATTGAGCACTCCTTCTTCTGCTATCTTATATATGGTACACATACATTGTTTAATTTATCACTCTTTGCTGTAGTTATTCTTTGTTATTTTTTTAATTAGGTTGATCTCCATGAGGTCAGTATATCATTTCATGGTTATGTTGCCATTTCCCATTTATTTATATTAAAAAAAAAGTTCCGTCATTTCAGCATATGTGCTTTATGTTTTTTATTATTTATTTACCACAAGTAAAGGTCAGGAATTGTTATCTTTCTTTTAAAAAAAATTTTAAGTATATTTTATTGACTTTTTACAGAGAGGAAGGAAGAGGGAAAAAGAGTTAGAAACATTGATGAGAGAGAAACATCAATTAGCTGCCTCCTGCACACCCCCTACTGGGGATGTGCCCGCAACCAAGATAATGCTCTTGACTGGAACTGAACCTGAGATCTTTCAGTCCACAGGCTGAAGCTCCCTCCACTGAGCCAAACCAGTTAGAGCTCTTTTAAATTTTTTTTTTACTGTTTCACTTTATTACTGCTGTGCTCCATGTGAGTGACATAGGTGCTTTGTACATTGGTTCCAATTTACAGCAAAAATTGTGTTACATTGCGCCGTAGAAACAGATCTCCTACGTAACCTGAGGGAGCCATTTCGCAGCCTGGAGGATCTGGGAGTGCCTCCTGGAGGAGGGGGTCCCATGACAACTGGAGCTGGAGACAGTAATACGTGATGTGGAGAGAGATGACCTACTGCATGCTAATTGTCCCTCCAACCATTCTTCTAGTTGCTATGATGCACACTGACCTCTAAGGGACAGATGCTCTGACCAGTAGGTTAGCTTACTCCTGGGGTCTGGCCAGGTCTGGATGAGATGGGCCGGACACACCATGGAGCCCTCCCAAAGTCCCTCCCCGGCTCTGATTGTGCACCGGTGGATGTCCGAGAGCCGGTTTCAGCTCAATCCCCACAGGCCAGACTGAGGGATCCCATCAGTGCACAAATTCATGCACCAGGCCTCTAGTGGAATATATGAGCAGGATTGCAACTGGACATCAGAAAAGAACTAAAACCATAAATTGGATCACTGTCAGGAAGTTGAGAATCAACTCTGTCTTTGTGTCCTGTTTTTTTCTCCTTGGCAGAATAGTCTTTCCTCCTATGTTCACATGCTTATGTCCCTTTAGTTTTTAATTTCTGTCTTGATAGGTTACAATTCTAGTCATATTTAGACTATTTCAGTTTCAATTTCAAATTCCTGTGAAAGATGCATTTTGAGTGAGCTATCTTACTCTAGACAAATTAGCTATGCTTACAAGATAGGAACCTATAATGCAAGTATGGCAGATTAACTCAGAAGGTGATTATACCTACCAAATGCAGATTAACTGGGTAGTCATTTCTAGGCTGCTCCATGTAGAAGCCTAGACTCATTAATTTCTCTGTCTATCTGCTTGACCTATATATTTTTATGCCAGTGCCTCTATTTTATTTACTTGAATAATATTTTACATTTTATGTCTGTTAAGATAAGTCATTCTTTCACATTCCTTTTCAGGATAACTAATTTTCTGCATTCTTCTGGTTGGAATCTAAATTCATTGGGGTTTTTTGTTGTTTTATAGGATTTTGATTAGAATGCAGTTAGGTTCATAGATTGGTTTGGGAAGAATGAAGATCCTTATAATATTGAATCTCAATCTCTCTGTTTAACTTTCTTTTATGTCCTTCAGAAAAAATTTCTGGATGATTTTTCTGGGTCTTACTCTTTTCTTACTAGGTTTATTTCTAGTTTATTTGTGATTTTTGTTATTACCATGAAGAGCATATTTTAATTTTCTACATTTCTATAAAATGGCTTTTCTTGGTAGTAAGAAACAGTATCTGTTTTATATGTCTTATTATTGCTATTATAGCCTAATTATTTTAGGTAGATATTAATATCACTTGCAAATAAATAAATAAAAATTATTCCTTTTAAAACATCCTCTGGAATAATATCTATTGAGTAAACATGAAGAGACTTTCCCTTCTTAAAAGAAATTTACAATCCAGTGAAACAGACAAAAATAAACAGTTAAAAATACAGTGTACTAATAGCTTTAATGGAGTTATGGACAAGCGCTAGTGATAAAAAACAAACAAACAAAAAAAAAAACCAGACCACCTAAATATGTCTAGTAGAAAGAGTGAAGGCTTTGTTGAAGAACTATTGCTTTGAATTGAATCTTTATATATACATATATATATATAATTTTTTTTAATATATTTTATTGATTTTTTACAGAGAGGAAGGGAGAGAAATAGAGAGCTAGAAATGTCGATGAGAGAGAACATCGACCAGCTGCCTCCTGCACACCCCCAACCGGGGATGCACCCGCAACCAAGGTACATGCCCTTGACCGGAATCGAACCCGGGACCTTCAGTCCGCAGACCCACGCTCTACCACTGAGCCAAACCGGTTTTGGCTGAATTGAGTCTTAAAGAGCAATCAAGAGTAGCCCAGCTGATGTGGCTCAGCAGTTGAGCTCTGACCTAGGAACCAAGAAGTTGTGAGTTTCATTCCCAGTCAGGGCACATGCTGCTGGATCCCCAGTAGGGGTTGTGCAGAAGGCAGCCAATTGACGATGTTTCTTTTACTCATCGATGTTTCTATCTCTGTCCCTCTCCCCTCCTCTCTCTAAAAAGCAATAAAACCATATTTTAACATAAATAAGTAAATATAGTAATCAAGAGTTTTTCAGGTACTGGTAAATAATGTTGGGGGACATTTAGTAAACAAGATACAAAGTGAAATGACATGAAAGATTATAACACAAGCAGTTTGTCCACTTAAACTATAGTAGAGTAGGTAGCCAGGTGAATTACAGTGTAGAAGTGGTGAGTATCACAGTGCAAAGAGCTTCGATTTGATCTTAGAAGTAGAGTGCTGGTGAATCTACAGAAGGTGACATGAATAGAATTCCATTTTGTGATGATTTCTCTGAATTCAGTGAAGTAAATGTAGTGTGGAGGCATATATAGAGTGAGATGGTGTAAACATGTGTAACAATAAACAGTTGACAAAGGAAGAGAAATTCATGAAGGAATTGTATTAAAAGGTCTAAGGAGAAGTAGGGTGACAATTAAAAGACTATAATGATACAGAAACCTAAAACAGATAGTGTCAAGAAATGGAAGTGGTCACCAGTGTCAGATGCTGTCATAGGAAATAAGGCCTGAAAAACATCCATTATATTTTACCCAAAAGTTATTGGTGACTTAATAAGTTTCTCTAGATACTGGAAGCAGAAACCAGATCTCACAGTAGGTTGTAGAATAGATTGAGTAGGAACAGGTTGGGCATGGAAAACATAGTTAGGAAATGAAGATTTCCTACACCTAAGATTCCCCCCTCCCCCCCAAGATTGGCTTTCATCAAGGGAAGGATTTCAGATTTAAGATAAATGGTCATATTTGTATGTTGGTAGGAAGGTATCCAAGGAGAATACAAATTGAGAAAAGAGGAAAAAATGCTACTAATTAAACAAGTTCCCAGAGGCAAGTGGGATCAAGAGAAGGTAGATGGATTAGTCTTAGATAGGCATGGGGTATATATTGATGTACAATTGCAGATCATTTTATAGGTAGGGGGCAGAAAGTTGAAGGAGTTCTATCCTTTTTAATTGTGTGAAGGAAAAACACTCCAATGAAATTGAATTAGAGAAAATGCTGTAAATAGCCTAAGTAAAAGTAAAGTTTCTAGTAATTTGTACAGGGAATAATGTTTGTTTGTTTTGTTTTGTTTTGTTTGTTTGTTAGAATAAAATAACCTAATGACTGGTTTGGATTAAGTGAAAAAATTCAAAGATGACCTCACGGTTAGAAGACTAGAAAGTTGAGAGAAAAGGGGGACTCTAAAAAGGAAATTGTTTAAGCCAAATTTATGCTTAGTAGCGATTGAAACTCCCAATGAAGGTATCCAACAGGCAGCAAGAAATAGAAATTAGGAAAGAAGTCAGTATGCTACTCAATTATATCATGAACCATTGTGTTATCTTTCCTCTAACACAGTGATTCTCAACCTTTCTAATGCTGAGACCCTTTAATACAGTTCCTCATGTTGTGACCCCCGACCATAAAATTATTCTTGTTGCTACTTCATAACTATAATTTTGCTACTACAGTGTCTCTACAGCAGTGGTTCTCAACCTGTTGCAACCCACAGGTTGAGAACCGCTATCAGGGTCACCTAAGACCAACGGAAAACACAAATTTACATTATCATTCATAACAGTAACAAAATTATAGTTATGAAATAGCAACGAAAATAATTTTATGGTTGAGGGTCACCACAACATGAGGAACTGCATTAGAAAGATTGAGAACCACTGCTTGAGATTTTCATTTCTCAGTTGTCATGCAGTTTATCATTTGGAACTAAAGGGTTCCAACTTGGGTCTTAATATCTTTAGAGCGTGAATCATATATAGTTAAAGAATGTGGTGTGATTTGTTGTAGGTGAAGTCATAAGCTACCACAAACTGCTCTTTTTCTTTGTTCCTTCTATTAGTTCTGACCATGTTTCCTTACATTTATTTTATTCTGTCTTTCTGTATCATGGACTCCATGTCATTTCAGCCTATCATTATTTTTGTTAAAAGCCATTTTCTGTCTTGGTACAGAAACTGTTTTTTACTTAATATTTTTTTATCATATTTTTTTTCTCTCCACTTATACTTGTCCATTCCATTTAATAGGAGGCTTCATGTCTTATCTCCGAATCCTGGCTCATTACACAATGCCTGGAATACTTTTTATTGTAATAAATAAGTTCTTATTAATGAGTTAATTTTTGCTTTCCATGGTTTTTGTTTTTTATCTTTTTCAGTGTCATTTTATGTGTTCCTTTTTGTCAGTTATTTGGTCTACACATTTTATAATAATGCCATCTCATTCTAAATTTTCATGAACTTATTGTTTTCTTCCAATGTTATTCTTTTTTCCTTGGTAGACCAGTTTATCCCACCACTACTTGTTTTAATTCTTTGTTTATTCACCTTACCTTGTATTAATTTACTATTGATTAATCAGACCTTTCTCTCAACTCTGCTTGTGCCTGCAGACTCATTCTTTGCCTTATAAACACTCTTTTCATACCTCTTCTCCAAGAAAAAACATTTCATTACATCAGATAACTAATACTCAATAATGGTAATTATGTAGCTTATACTCTTATACCAAGTAATGGGTCCTGTTCTGAAAGCTTTGTGTATATGAACAAATGTAATCCTCAAAATAATATTCTGAGGTAGTAAACTACATTTGATAGAGATTAATTTATCTTAATTTGATTTATATGAATTATTTAATTTTCTGACAGTTTCTCCTTACTAGGAAAGAACTTGGCTGATGTTTTTGTTTTCTATTTATTATTCTAGATGTTTTAAACAGAGATAAGGATGAGGAGCCAACTGTGAAACAAGAAATTGAGGAAATTGAGGAAGAAGTGGAGTCAAAGGGTATAATAGTTACAAGAATCAAAAGTGAAACTGACCAGGATCCCATGTGTAGAGAAACCTTTGAACTTGTTGGTAGGTTAGATAAACAGAGAGGAATCTTCTTATGGGAAATACCAAGGGAACCTTTGACCCAGGAACAAAGAATGTTCAGAGGAAACACTAACATTATTCGTAAGAGACCTAACTCAGAAGGGAAATGCCATAAATGTGAAGAATGTGGAAAGGGTTTTGTCCGCAAGGCCCATTTCATTCAACATCAACGGGTTCATACTGGTGAGAAACCGTTTCAATGCAATGAATGTGGGAAAAGTTTTAGTCGCAGTTCATTTGTTATTGAACATCAGAGAATTCACACTGGAGAAAGGCCCTATGAGTGTAACTACTGTGGAAAAACCTTTAGTGTGAGCTCAACCCTTATTAGACATCAGAGAATCCATACTGGAGAGAGACCCTATCAGTGTAATCAGTGTAAACAGAGCTTCAGCCAGAGAAGGAGCCTTGTTAAACATCAGAGGATTCACACAGGTGAGAAACCCCATAAGTGTAGTGACTGTGGGAAAGCCTTCAGTTGGAAGTCACACCTTATTGAACATCAAAGAACTCACACTGGTGAAAAACCTTATCACTGTACCAAATGTAAAAAAAGCTTTAGCCGAAATTCATTACTAGTTGAACATCAAAGAATTCACACTGGAGAAAGACCCCATAAATGTGGTGAATGTGGGAAAGCCTTTAGATTAAGTACATACCTTATACAACACCAAAAAATCCACACTGGTGAGAAGCCTTTTCTTTGTATTGAATGTGGAAAAAGTTTCAGTCGGAGCTCATTTCTTATTGAACATCAGAGGATCCATACAGGTGAAAGACCTTATCAGTGCAAAGAGTGCGGGAAAAGCTTCAGTCAACTTTGCAACCTTACTCGTCATCAGAGAATCCACACAGGAGATAAACCCCATAAATGTAAAGAATGTGGGAAAGCCTTTAGTAGAAGCTCAGGTCTCATTCAGCATCAGAGAATTCATACCAGAGAGAAGACATATTCATACAATGAAACTAACAAAAGTTTTGATCCAAATTGCAGTCCTGTTATACAGCAGGAAGTCTTCCCTAAGGAAAAATCGTATAAATGTGATGAATGTGGGAAAACTTTTAGTGTCAGTGCTCATCTTGTACAACATCAAAGAATCCACACTGGTGAAAAGCCCTACTTATGTACTGTGTGTGGGAAAAGCTTCAGTCGGAGCTCATTTCTTATCGAACATCAGAGAATCCACACAGGTGAGAGACCCTATCGATGTAGACAGTGTGGCAAAAGCTTTAGTCAACTTTGTAATCTTATTCGACATCAGGGTGTCCACACAGGTAATAAACCCCATAAATGTGATGAATGTGGAAAAGCCTTTAGCCGGAACTCAGGCCTTATTCAGCATCAAAGAATACACACAGGAGAGAAACCTTATAAATGTGAGAAGTGTGACAAAAGTTTTAGTCAACAGCGCAGCCTTGTCAACCATCAGAAGATGCATGCAGAAATGAAAACCCAAGAAATCCATGAATGTGATGCTTGTGGTGAAGCCTTCAATTGCCGCATATCTCTTATTCAGCATCAAAAATTGCACACTACATGGATGCAGTAAATGTAGAGAAATATTTAAGTTAGGCTGGACTTGATACTAGCTTACCCAAGTGCAGTTTCAACATTGCTCAATATGAGTCAGATTTAGTAAGAAAGGAAAATATCTTTGGCCTAAGGCAAATGGTTTTTAGAGACTCTGCGTGGGCAACCAGCTGCCCACAGACATTTTTCAGTAGCCTTTGTTTTGATGACTCAGTAATATATGCATCTTTTTAAAACAAATCTTTCAGGTTAAACCTGGGCTCAGAGCATTTGGTTATAATAATGAAGGGAGAATGACAAAGTTGCATTGATACAAGGGAGCTAGAACCACTCATGTTAGAAAACTAGAATAATTCTTCAGAGACCTTTGCCACCATCTTATACGTTAATTCTTTTGGTTCTATGATGTGTTTGGCTAGGCATGCCAAAGTCCAGTAATTGAGCATATGATGAATCTTTCAAGGAAACAGCCCAGATTTTTTTTGAAACTGATATCCAAAGTTTTTGTCATTGTTTTAAGCCAGTTATTTGGCACATGAGTAACAAGAAAGCAGTTCCAATGCCTCGTGGTTCTCAGAAATGTGAAATGAGTGGACCATTAATTTTACATGTAAAGATTATGTGAGTAACAAACCTAGCAAAGATGTTACCAAGGTATCTTTGGGAGTGCCTTTTTCCCCAAGATGGGCCCAAAAAGGTGGAGGAAGACACTATTTTTGTGTCCTTCCATCTATGAAAGATATTTGTAATCTTATACAAATAATTTTATTCCTTCACTACCAGTAGCATGTGAAAGTGTACATATTTTGATTGCCAAGAATTGAAGATAAAGAGACCTGGAGTCTATGTTAGGAAGCTGAGATATTTTGGTATTGCTTTGGTTTTTATAGTAACTAGACTTTGCATGCAGTTTTAAAATTCTTATTTCTGGTACTAGGGCTCCTTTAGTTAAAGGTTACTATAAACCTATTAATTCATCTGTTCTAATCATTAAATCTGCTTTGGCTTTTTTTTTTTTTTTCTTTTTTTTTCTTTGTGTAAGAGTTCTTTGTTACTATAGTGTAAAATCTATAAATCTGTCCTGTCAAATATATTACTGTGTTTAAAAATTAGAATCAAGGTTTAAAGGAAATTACCCTCACTTATTCTACCTGCGAGACAGTAGAGATATCCAGAGATAAATGTGTGGATCAAGATTAAAGAAAAATTTAAGTATTTTTCCATTCTGAACTTGAGGGAGGTTAAAGAGAAGGGAAAGCAGGTAGACATTGGTTGTTATCATCTAAAGTTAATTCTAGCACTAATGGAAGAATTTTCTCTCTCTTTTTTTTTTTTTTTTCCTATAATGGAAGAATTTTATTTGGAGGTTTTCTTCCTCCAATTTAGAAAAAAGAGAACAGATTTAGTGTATGGAAATAGAGTGTGCATGACATTACCTGTTTTTAAAAAACAGACATTCATATTTTGAAAGTCAGAGAAAGAAGAGGGGTAGGCACTGCTAGGTGAGGAGTTAAGAGCCTCATAGATAATAAAGGTTTGAAGTACAATGGGGAGAATGGAAGACTTGGGGATGATGGCTTGTTGGGTGTTATATAGGGCCCAGCTGAAATAAAGGACTATGAACTTTTAATAGAATTGCTCAAATTCCTTGTTGAGATAACATGGGACAATTTTGAAAGAAAATTTAAGAGTTGAATTAGATGAAGCAAGATATTAGTAGATTTATTCAGGTTCTTCGGAGAATCAACCAATAAACCAAAAGGATAAGTAGGTAAGCAGATGATGGATAGGTGGGTGGGTGATTAGGTAGATTAGATGATGATGATAGATAGATGATAGATAGAATAGGAATTGGCTCCTGTGAATATGGAGGCTAAGAACTTCCACAATGTGCCTGCCATCTGTAAGCTAGAGAACCACAAAAGCCAACGGTATAATTCAGTCTGAGTTCAGAGGCCTTAAAACAAGGAGCTTCCTATAAAGACTGGAGGAAATGCCCTAGTTCAGGCAGAGCAAATTTGTTCTTCCTCCACCTTTTTGTTGGTTTCAGGCCCTCAATGAATTAGGTGATGCCCACAAACATTGGTAAAGGCAATCTAGTGCAAATTTCTTTCAGAAGCACAATCACAGACACACCCAGAAAACATGTTTACCAGCATTCCTTAGCCCAGTCAAGTTGAAAAAAATTAACCATCACAGTGGGTAACATAAAACAACCAGGAAAAAGGAGGCCTTGGTAGTGAAAGAAAAAAAATGGAAATCACTGTAAATATTCCATTTCTCTGAAATGTTGATGAGTAAGGCATTTCACTTTAAAAAAAAATTTATATATATATATATATATATATATATATATATATATATATATATATATATATAATTGATTTTTTTAAAAGAGGAAGGAAGAGAGAGAGAGAGAGTTAGAAACATCAGTGAGAGAGAATCATTGGTCAGCTGCCTCTTGCACACCCCCTACTGGGGATGTGCCCATAACCAAGGTACATGCCCTTGACCAGAATCGAACTTGGGATCTTTCAGTCTGCAGGCTGATGCTCTATCCACTGAGCCAAACTGATTTCAGCAGGCATTTCACTTTCATCTGTCTTCCTAAAGAAGGATGTCAGCAAATCAAGGCATACCCAGTTGAGCATGATACATGCACTATAAATTTCAAATTTTTCTGTAGTCTATATATATATATATATCATAGTCTGTAAAAGTTACAGTTCTTAATTAGTATTTGGTATCTTTCACTTTCTATCTCTTTCAAAAGTGGTGGCCTTGGCATTCCACTTGTTTTCACCATTCTAGTCAAATTCCCTACAATTTCCTCTCAACATGTGTAACCTGTACTCTTGTCAGGTCACAGCTAATTCCTCTTCACTCTCAAGTGCCTTTATCATTCTTTGAGAGCCAACTGACAGGAGAATAGAAAAGTTATTCCCAACTTACATATCTGGCATTGTACATAAAATATCGCTAATCACACAACCCTATTTTACAGATGAGGAAGTATATATTTCCCAAGATCATACAAAAAACTATCTGCAAATCATCTTTATAAACCATTCCTTCCTTTCTTTATCTCAGCACCTGGCCTATACCACTGCGGTTTAGCACATTATTGTGTGCTATTTTGTTTCCTCATCTCAATAGTAAGCACAAAAGGACCCTATAGTATCTTTACAATGCAAAGCATATACTGAATGCAAAATGGATACATGTATTGATGCCCAGTACTGTTAGGCTATTTTAGAAGGCTTGGGACAGATTGTGTTACAGCTAGAAAAATATGTTTGAGTAATGGAAAGAGACCTGTGTCTGGCTGTGTTAATTCATCATCTGGAAAATGGGTGTAGGTAGGGAATTGGTAACATTGCATGAGTCCTCAGGCTCTATTGAGCAGGGATAATTCACCTGGTACCCTAGAGGTATGCCAGATATTGTTCTAAGGGCAGGGCCACAATTCTTTATCTGAAAGTCTTGAGGATTTTGCAAATCACATTGATCTCACCTACTGGTTTTGTGACCTTGAGCAACTTCCTTAGCACATTGGACCCTAATAGCTGATATTCTCACCGTTAAAGTCAGCTTTTGCTAAGTTCACATTATAAATCATCTCATCTTGTTTTTGTAAAGCATGTATAGACTCATGTGAAACGAGACTCTTCCTATCAGGAAGACACATCTTTAGATATGTCAGTATCCCTCCTTACTAGTAAAAGTCCTTTAGTCATCTCCCCACAATTCCATGTCACCCTAGTATCTCCATGTGTTCTCTTGTTTCCTTCCTTTCTCATTCCTTTCTCCTCCCTCTTTCCTTTTTTTTTTTTTTTTTTTTTTTTTTAACGTTTTAATTGACTTGGGAGAGGGAGAGAGAGAAATATAAATGAGAGAGAAACATCGATTAGCTGCACCCTGTACGCCCCTACTGGGGATAGAGCCCACATCCTGGACATGGGCCCTGACCAGGAATTGAACCAGTGACCTCTTGGTAAATGGGTTGATGCTCAACCACTGAGCCACACCAGCTGGGCTCCTCTCCTTTTCCTTACCCCTTCCTTCCCTCTCTGACCCTCCCTCTTCAGAGCAAAAACCAAACTCTTCTTTTTATTCCTTCCAGTATTTAGTAATTGTTCTAGCTTGGCTTTTGATACTTGTGCCTTCAAGGTATTATCTTCTTCCATTGAATTATCATAGAATTTTCTTACACAATGGCAGTTCCTTTTCTGAGTTCCTTTCCTTGTTAACATCTTATAATCTCCAACCTGTACCCAGCTATACTGATAGACTCTCCTCCCCACTCCTCAACCTCCAATCAATAGCATGTGTTTCTTGCTTAGCTACCTTAAGTTTAATTGTCTATATACAAATGCCTTGGCAACGTTAAAGCTGAAGGTTTTCTTAATTACTTTCAATGCCTAGTACCAGGTTTTATTTTTAGTGGGTGCTCAACAACTTCTAGAATAAATCTGACAAAATACTGAAATCTAGGAAGCCATTAATATATTCACTCAGCGACCACAGTTAATGGAAATTGAAGCCTGTAGCTTCATAACTCTTGTCTTCATATTACCCTGAGTGGAGGAAATTACTTGGCTTGAGATTTCAAAGCCATTTGCAGTACTTTAGTAGGGAAAATATGTCAGATAGTAACCAGGGAAAATGCATTATATAAATCCTCACCCTCAGTGAAATGTAATTCAGCCTTGATTATAAATTCGTGTTCAACCCATTAATGAGCTTTTAAGAGGTTTCTCTATCACAGAGAGCCAATGATGCTGAGTAAACTCTACACAAAAGTTTTCTAGCAGAAAAGCTTTGTCACACCAGGTGTTGTGACAAAAGCTTTTAGGACAGCTTAGCACATGGTAAAAGCTCAAGTAGTGGCTGATGGAATGAATGGATGCAATAAAAGTAGAAGACCAACTGCCTATTGTCCACCTTTACCTGCTCCCTGGTTGTGTGTACCTTTTAGGAGAAAGAAACCTGAATGTTAATCTCTCAGCTCTACCCACCCAAAATGTGTGACCATCATCCAGTAATTTAACTGCTCTCGCCTTGGTTTTTATCATCTGTAAAATGAAAGACTTGGATTAAATGACCTTTAAGGTGGATTTGCATTGCTTATATGGATATAGTTCATTGTTTTTAGAAAGTAATGCAGGTACATGGAAATAACCAAATGTCCTGGAGACACATAAGTAATTTCTTATATATAGAATTTATAAATATATAACATATATGTTACATTTATAAATAATTCATTTCTTATACTCACTACCAGGTTTTTCTCATCAGAAGAAGGTCTTTTGGATTAATTCCATTTTATTCCTCTAAATAATGTGCTATGCCTCTATTTCTTAATTTATCAACTCTAAGCAATAACATTTATCTTTGTACTCTTCAAGGCAAAGAATTTAGTTTACTTCCTTCTCCTATATTTTATCTTTGTACTCTTCAAGGCAAAGAATTTAGTTTACTTCCTTCTCCTATATTTTAAGGTATTACTCTTGTAATGATTTATATCAATTTCCTTTATTACTTTAGTACACTTAAAACACTATTTCTTAATCCATCAATTTTAAGTGGAATTCCTGACTCCTTACTAAGTGGGTTAATGCTTCCTTTGCTTTCCTCTATTTCTCCTCTCCTTTGAATGTCCCTTCTGTCGGTTAAATTATTACTTTTTTTTTTTTTTTTACCAGAATCATTACTTTTATATCATCCAAAGCTTCAATATTTAAATTCTCTTCTGTAACTATGGCTTTCTGAAAATGGAAAGTCAATCAAGTATAATTATGTGAATATTATATGCAAAAGTAGGTTGTGTGCTTGGCTGTGCAGAGGAATACGTTGTCCTATATCACCAAACCTGGGCCCCTTAAAGAAGAATGCTTAAAGCAGCAAAGTCACATTGATTCTCTCAATACCCTCCACATGTTTCTCAAAATCACTTCACATTTTAGCTTCAAATTATAAATGACTTTCAATTTTGGAGAGCCTCAAACTTGAAACCTAGGTTGGTCCTTCTCAAACTTGGCTCTACATGGAATCATCAAAGGAACTTTAAGAAACCTTGATATTTAAAGGATCCTACATCAAGAGTTTGATTTAATCAGGCTTTGGTGATTCCGATGAGTAGCCAAAGTTGAGGACCCTATAACATCAATCACATCTAGTAGAGTCAAAGGTAATGAAATCTACTGCGTCTTTAGAAAACAAGAGCAAAAAGTAAAATCCAATACCAACTGAAGGTTTATAGCTTATTTTATTTCTTTTTTGTTGCAGCTGTCTCCTTCATAACCTAAGATCATTTAATAAGATGCACTTCTCTGCCCTGAGCTTCTGAGATATTTCATTCAGTGGTTGTTATTTGGATGGTGAGCAGATGTCGTTTTAAAGTCTATTCTTTTCATAGGTGGAGACTCTGGGTCATGGGCAAGGAAACTGCTGTGTGAAATTTCATCAAATCCTTGATATTCAGACTTAAGTTTCAATAACTGATTTTTTTTTCCTTGTGTCTAAGAATTTAACATGTATTGTGTTTCCAGTACTTCAATCTAATTTGGTCTGATTTCCAGGGTCAGTCAAAAGGAGGTTGTTCCCTTTCAGCCCTCTTTCCAAGACACCTCAAAGAGCTGGAGCTGTTTCTAGTAGGTATAGTTGGCTGTGAAGAGCGACTGGGTGGATGCAGCACCAGAAGAACCCGTGGAAGTATACTTGCCTTTGGCCGCCTGGCAGTTAGCCTAAAAAACAAGGGTGACAGAGGAGGCCGAGTTAGAGCAGACACAACCATGTGCTTCAGCCTCTCATTTGAAACCAGCGACACCTTCATGTAGACATTTTCCCCCTTACATTAATTTGCCGGCTGATTTCATTCCCCTCCTTTTATAACATGTTATCTCCTTTTTCCCAGTTTTCTGAGCATTTCTTTGGCTGACTGAGTTTTGTGTCGGTTACTGAGAAAGTTTCTTTTTAGTACCAACAATATCGCAACAACAGTACTAGAAATTAAACTTGAGAAATTTCTCACTAGTATTAGGATAAAGGAGTGGGGATGTCAGGCTTAACAAGCTTGGACCACATGTGGAAGTTGTCTGCTAAGAAATTGACCAGATATTATGGCCAAGCATCAGGCAAAGTACGATTTGTTATAGTAAAAAAACACATAAATGAAAATAAAATTATTTTTAAAAGTTACCCATTTTTTACTTATATTTGACCACAAACATGTAGTTTTATGTAGTTGTTATCACAGTATCATTTGATCCCCTGTGTAAATTCTAATTAAAGTTGAGTTCAGGATTATAAAACCTGTAATATTCAAATGCCACTCTTCAAGTCACTGTTACTATTGCTTGCTCTCTTCAGGATTTATTTCGTCATATACAGTAATTTTCAAAGTGTGTTTCATGAACCTAAGCACATGTAAGTACTGGAAATCCTCTAGCTTGACCCCTACCACTGGGATCAGAAACTTAGTGCCTGGGGCCCAGCAATCTGGGTTTTAACAAGACACCAGATGATTCAGATGTACGCACTAGTTTGAGAATCACGTCTCAGACGATAAACTCGGCTTCCCTTCTTTGGTGTGGATTGGCCCCTGGCCCTTAGTTTCACAGTCCCTCCAACTCAACAGCCACACCAGCACAGCCATGCCCAGCTCTCCATCATCATAAGGTAAAGGACTACCTCTACAATCTCACACCCCTTATGCCCCAACTTCCCTGGGAACTTCCTTTAGTGCTTCTGGTGAATTCTTTTCTTGCCCAGCCTTCTCTGATCAGCAAGCTACATAAGACCATCACTCAAATTCAGCACTCTTCAGTCTCCTTATTAAACTTTTACTCTTTTCTCCTGCTATTCCCATTTTGGTTGACCTGAATCTTCCTGCATGCTTAAGAGAGCTATCAGGAAAATTTAGGATCTAAGTTAATTGTACCACAAACTCACTCTCCTTTCAGCTGCACCTTGCCTGATAAGATTGGCCATCACATCTGGTCAATTTCCCAGCAGACGATTTCAATAGCTATTTCAAGCTCCTCCGCTGTTAAGATCGAAACCTCTATTCCCTTCTCACTCTCAACAGATGTTCTCAACAGCAGTCAGCAATCAACCACTGCATCTCTTTATCCCAAAAGATCTGACTTCAACCCATTCTCTCTGTGATGTCTCTCCCATTCTTTCTAAGACTAACTCTGCCAACTGTATTAACATTTAGTTTCATGTAATTCTGTTTCCTCTAAGCCCTTGTCCTTTCCATGATCTCCACTCTCCTCATCTTCACTCTGTCCTCTAGCTTTCTTTTTCTAATGTGTAGAAATGATATCACTTTGTGGGTTTGATTTGCATTTCCCTGGTAATTAGAGATGCTGATAATCTTCTCATGTATTTATTGCCATTTGTACTTCATTGATGGAGAAGTGTCTATTTGAGTCCTTTGCCCATTTTTTTAACTAGGTTATTTCCAGCTATGTTACTGAGATGGGTAATAAAACCTTATTACCTATCAGATTTACAAATATGTTCATTCATCCTATGAGGTGTCTTTTTCACGCTCTTGATAGTGTTCTTGACATCTAAGTATGCCAAGCTCTCTCCTACTTGGCTAAGCTCTAAGCTCCCTAAAGGCAGTGGCTGATCTGCTTTATTCATCCCAGTCCTTGGCTCATAACAGCTGTTCAAAAAGGAATGGTTACTATTTGAATAAAATCATTTTGTCTCCATTTCTCCTGGTAACCTTTCTAGGTATTCTGACAAACTTCTTGAATATGCACTTTTCTTCCTCTCTCTCTCTTGAAACTATTGAGGGTCACTGATAATCACCTAAATGTCCATCTCTGCTTTCTCTGAGCCTTTATTCTGAATCTCTCAGAAGTATATTGTTACTGACCCCTTGAAATTTGTTTCTCTTTGTTCTCAGAATCCTTGGTTCATCCTATCATAGTATTGCTGCTTGTTGGGTGGCTTCTCTTCATCTTCCCAAAATGAAAGGTGACCCAGTTCAGTGCTTATTCCTCTTATCTTTGCTCAGAAGTGTCTTGTGGAAATTTTCCTTAAACCTCTGTCATCAGCTATGTGCCCAGTGTAGATAACTCAAAACTCTCTAGCCCTCACCTTCCTATTGAGCTCCAGTGCCACATTTTCAAATACTCAGTAGGCATTATCTGGAGACACCTTCATGGCCTAAAGAAGCAAGGTTTTCCACATGACAGAACCAGGCCCCAAGTGTCCACGTGATCAAGTACATAACAGGTAGTAGCATCTTACCACAGCCCGCTTCATGAAAGCCTCCTGTGTTGCCTTCTTGTTTGCAGCCTTGCCACCCCAAGCAGCCAGTGCACTGGCCTGCAGGGCCCGTCCATAAGAGAAACTTAGTTTCCAGGGCTTAGGTAGAGGGCAAAGGTTGATAGCATTAAGGTTGAGGGTAGCATCCTCTTCACTCATACCCCCAGACAAAAAGCAGATGCCTAGAAGGAGAGAAACAATTCCACTTAGTCCCAGCTTGTGGACCCATCTTGAGAAAGCAAGCAATGGGCCTAAAAGAAATGTAATGTTTCAACCTTTTCTCTGCTTGATTTGCATGGAACTGGGTCTGGGATATTTCTTTTCCCTTGTTGGGCTAGGGATATAAGGGCTTTCATAAGTAAGGAAGGAGGTGAAATGTTGAGGAAATCAATGGATTGTGTGCATTTGGGCAGACTCAGGATATGTGGTATCACAAAGAGAGGGGAAGTGCTGCTGCTGTGAGGTGGCAGGGGTCTGCTTCATGGGTGGAAGACTTTGGACAAACACTAATGCTTGTGGAACTTTGCTGAGGGCCAAGACCTGGAGTGAGAGGTGCAGGAAAGCCGTACCAGGCACAGCAGCAGGAACGGTACGGTGGAGAGCGGTGACAGTGGCCATGGCCACTTGCTCTGGAGTATACTTCTTGGTGCAGGCATGCCCAGCGGTCACCATGTTGGGCTTCAGCAGCGTGCCCTCCAGGTACACATGATGGTCATTCAGGGCCTTGTACACAGCAGCCAAGACCTGAAGGATAAGAGAGCCAAACAGATGAAACCCAAAGCCAGCCTTAGAGTCACCTGCCTTTGGCACTTCTATGCTGCAGGGATGCAGAATGAAGGAATTCTCATATGTGGCTTGGCCAAAGCTTCCCAACCAGCCCGCAGGCACCATCAGGGCAATGTATTGCAAACCACAGCCACTAAGCACAGACAAGCTTGCCTATATCCGCCACCCCTACTCTAGCTGCCCACTGCATGGTCCGCTGGCATGGCTGCTTCCCTTCACTCCTTCCTTCCCATCATTCCCTTTGGTCAGTGGAGACTGCCTGGGTTTAGTTAGTTGGGGACATGTAAATTGGCCTCTGTTCTCCTTCCCCTTAGATGCTAAGTGGTCATAAAAACATACATTTCAGACACAAAAGATATCTTAATCCACCTAATTTTGCCAAGAAAGAAACTGAGGTCAGGTTACATTATGTCTCTTACTCTCCTATAGATATACTGTGGCTAATTTAGAAAGTCACAAGTAGACAAATTACTTTCTAATCACATGTTTGTTTGTTTTTTATGTAAGCCTCATTTTATTTTAAAATTTCTTAATTTACACCTAATAGAACTGAGACCCAACAAGTAGGTACATGGATTCTCATGCCCTAGTCTTGGTATTGCAAATCCCTGTGCTTTTTTCATAAGGAGCATACTATATACCCAAAAGTGGTAGGTTTGATAATACCTCCTTACCTTCTCAATGCTACATAAAGATGCCGACTGAGAATATTTCTCATATTGTAGTTGATATATGTTAAGTAATAGCTGTTACTTAAAAGCAAGATTTTTCAACTAGAATTTGGACTGACCTTCTCAGTAACGTATAGGCAGTGTTCCATGTCATGGTCTCCATCAGGAATTACCTCTGGTTCAACAATAGGTACCAGCCCGTTCTAAAAAGGAAAAAGGAGAGGACAGAGTTAGGCTCTGCTCACTGGGAATCTTTCCTTAAGAGATTATTCAACAGTTGGGGTTGGTACAAAATGAAGCCCTTTTGGAGAAATATCATGTAAGTGACTCAAGGGCAATGCAAAGAAATTTAAAGAAATATCTAGTGAGCATGGGTTAGTAGCCAAAAAAGAACAGTGAGATTGAAAAGAAAGAAAGGGCCCTCATTGGTTTGGCTCAGTGGATAGGGAATTGGCCTGCAGACTGAAGGGTCCCAGGTTCGATTGAGGTTAAGGTTAAGGGCATGTATCTCGCACATTGGTATTTCTATCTTTCCCTCTCTCTTCCACTCTCTCTAAAAAATCAATGGAAAAATATCCTCGAGTGAGACATTTTGTTAAAAAAAAAAAAAAAAAAAAAAAAAAAAAAAAAAAAAAAAAAAAAGAAAGAAAAAGAAAAAAATGAAGGAAGGTAGGAGAGAAGAAATGAAGAAAAGTTTTTTTTTTCTGGAAATAGGGAAAAAATAAAAGCAAACTCTTAATTTCTAAGTCTTATTCTAGAAACTACTCTGGCTACTTCAGAAACTCACTATCACCCTTTTAGAGCAGTCAAGTTTAAATAACTAAGAAAGATGCCTTTTATGTGGGTTAAGTAAGGAGTTCAAAAAGTAGTTACAATTCTGATTGGGAATCTAGGTTTTGGCTACAGCTCAGCACCCATACAATAAAATCAGACTAAAATGGATCCCAGGGATGTGCCAACATATGTCAGAAATTTTAGCATCAGGTCTCCATCCTCCACGAAATGATGTGGACTGGGTCAGAGCTATCACCCTTGGCCTGGGATCTCAGAGGACCCTGTCTTGGACATGGTGGGACACAGACAAGCAAGTGCCCTGGCCTCAAAAGCCTGACCACTTTGAAGAAGAACTGCAGTTGATGGCACCTGCCTTTTGGGCTCCTGGCTGGCTTGAGCAACCAGTTCTTTCCCTACCAGCCATGGCTACAGCAGAAGTAGTGAAAATGCCACCAGGCTACCCTGGTGGGGGAGAAGAGGGCTCAGGTGTGGCTATAATAAAATTAGAAAGATAGGCTCTAATGATAGCACTCGCCTACTGTGTTTTAGCCCAAGGGGAAGCGTGAGCACCTGCTGACAGATGCTGGCATAGCGAGCCAGGGCGTTGGCATTTTCCTGGATAGCAAGGGCGGATGGACACTGGTTGTCAATCCTCAGCACAGCACGCCACTTCCCAAAGTCAACACCGTCTTTCTTGTACTGAGCACAGCGCTGAGAAAGGCCATCGAGCCCTGCAAGTCACAAAAGAGAGAATGGCTTCTTTATGGCCTTGTCCCCGACCCCTGGGGCCGATAAAGTGTAGGAGTTCTCCCTGGGCTTAGCTTCCAGTCAGCAGAGCTTGAGAGTCAAAAATAACCGAGCAAATAAGCATGGGTCCCAATACTGAGCCGGGAGACCTGGATTTCATAAATATGGTTTTGAAGCGCATGTAGATACACCATAAGAATGGAGGGAATGAATATTTGGTTGGTATACTTGCTACGTTCCAGGAGTGACTCTAGGCATTTTGCACACCGTTTCTCATTTAGTTATCATGACCCCAATAGTTAATATTATATTCATTTTACAGATGTGGCTATCCAGGCTCTGGAAGGTTGAGTGACTTAACTAAGTTTGCATAGTGAAAGAGTGATGGAGCTGGGATTTGAATTCTGCATAACTAGCCCAGTGTTTTGGCTTATACTTGTCTACATGGACAGTGAAGTACCTAGCAAAATTATCTAAGTCGTAAGTCAGTGGTTGGCAAACTGGGGCACTCAAGCCACATGCGACTCTTTGGCCCCTTGATGATGGCTCTTTCACAAAATACCACGGCCTGGGAGAGCCTATTGTGAAGAAGTGTGTTAGAAGAAGTTTAAGGTTTAAGTTTAAAAAATTTGGCTCTCAAAAAAAATTTCAATTGTTATACTATTGATATTTGTCTCTGTTGATGAATGAGTTTGCTGACCACTGTTGTAAGTGACGGAACCAGGATTCAAACCCAGGTGTGTCCGATCCCAAACTCTCTATTGCTGCTGGATTTTTCTCTAAAAATAATATTCCCAGGTACAGAGTATCTTCTCTGTGCAATACACTGTGGTAAGAATTATATATATAGCACCTTCAAAATATATATATATATATTTTTAACTCAATCTTCAAAACTATTCTGCAAAGCAGATATTGTTATTCTCTAGAATGGACTCAGAACACTTAAGTGACAAATCAGAAGTCAACTAGAGGAGCTTGGATTGAATATCAGATGCATATGGCTTTAAACTCCATGTGATATTCATAATTTATTTTCACTTCCTTATTTGGAATGGTTCATATCAGTGGGCAGTGTCCTTACTTTGAATGCATATATTGGCATATATTGGCATGGCTCATATCAGTGGGCAGTATTCTTACCTTGAATGGTGGTTTCTTTGTTGGTTCCTGCAAGTGGAGCAGTTCCTTGGTCCAACTGTGAATTAAATAATTAAAAAGTAATTAGCAGGTGTCAGATATCCCAGTAAATAAAACACCAGCAAAGCCCCTGGTGCTGACTAGTAGTTCCCATCTTTCATAAATCAAGGAGTTCATTTTTTTTTTTTAAAGGATTAGTTATCTTGAGAGACACAACAGAAAGATACAACAGTTCATAACCGAGGGGTCATTACCTGGAAGGAACAATGTAAGAGAGTCAAGATCAACCCTAAGAGGATGGAAAGCACAGGCCTGGAGCTTGGGAAGTAAGAAGTAATCTGATATAGCACCAAGAATATAGAGGTTCTGCATAAGAGCAGCATCCCTTAAATTATTCATTCATTTATTCAAGAGACATGATGGAGCACCTTCATGTAGCAGGTACTGTGTTATTACAGGAGATGAAGACAATAGCATGCAGCCTCTACTCTCAGCAGAGCAAAGGCTAAGTTCATGAGCCAGAGAGGTGGACAATCTGGGCTCAAACTGCCTCCAATTTTGCCTTGCTGCGGGCAAGTTGTGTTATTCTATTTTTCTCACCTCACCCTAAAATAAGGAGAATAACTGAGTCAGCCTCCAGAGGTTGTCAGGAGGATTAAATGAGTCCCTGGAGTTCTAAGCACTCATTGAATACTCTATTCGTGAGAAGTGTGTACAGTTTTGGAAGACCTAGTTAAAGACAGAAGAGTGAGTGCTTTCATAATCACAGCTATCGTGCTCTGAATAATAATTTTGTGACAGGGACTGTTTTTAAAACACATTTCATCCTTATAAGAGTCTTATGAGGTAGGTACTATTATTCCCATGTTAGAAATGAGGAAATGGAGGCACTAAGAGATTAGTAGAAAATGGTTGAAGGAAGAGGACTTGGGAGGAAACGTCTGGAAGAGGATCGGTTCTCAGGGGAAGGTGTGATGGAAAGCAGCTGAGGAGGTATGTTCGGAGTGCTGGCCCTGCACTGGCCCCTGGGCTGGGCACTGGCCAGGTTGCTGTTAGAGGTGAGGGGAGTGGAAGTACTCACCTTGATCCCCACCACGATGCCCTTTTCCTTCAGGATGTCTCTGAACAGCTTTCCCTGGCTGTCCTTCTGGTAGAGGGTTTCATGGAACAGGATCACGCCCCCGATGCTCTGGCTGACAGAGTTATCCACGGTGAAGAGGATTTCCCTGAACTGCCGTCGGTTCTCTTCCGTGTTCTCCACGTTGATCCTCTGCAAGCGGTTTCCCATGGTACCTATGGGTGGGCAGGCAAAGGCAGGATAAGGAGCAAGCCGGGCTTTCCTCCTCTCAGTCTCAGAGACCCTCTCGGGGAAGGTCAGCAAGACTCTTCTCTATTCTCAGAATTTTCAAACTCCTGCCTCTTTTTTGTCTCCATTGGCTGATGGTCAGGAAGAGAATGGGCTGGACATGTCTGAGTCAGGGTGGAAGCCACCAGTGGGTTCAGGTGAGTACCTAAGGCCCTCCAGCCTCTCCCCAGCCTCTCTGGTTCAACCCTCAATCTGACTGTTGACTTCTCTGGTGTCTATCGTTTCCTGGGGGCGTGCAGGCCCACCCCAGCTCTCCCTTTTATCTTCTTTGGCTCACTTAGACACAAGCTCTTCCCTGTGCCAGATGTGGACACTTCCTGGTCCTCTCTGCCCTTCCCTGGCTGACTTTAACCTGGCTTCTCATTAGCAGAGGTAGGCTGTGTATCTGACCTCTTTCTGGTTACTGAATTCCTGGTCTTGCTAGATAGCCAGAATCCTAATGACCTCTGGCAAGGGGCAATGTGACAATGGAAGGCTGAGTCTGTCTTGGGTTTTCAGAAATCTGCCTACTGAAATGACAGGACCCCAAAGGTCTCTGCTTCCTAAGCCTTCGGCTCCCACTCCTGTGTGCATAAGCCTTTACTCTTCCGAGAGGAAAGGGAACATGCCTCTGCTACGTCTAGTAACAAGAATATGCTTAGTGTACGATGAGCTTCTGGCTCTCACTCACCTACAGACTCATCGGCAGCCAGGATCCCCTTCCCATTGGCAACGATGCGCTGGGCAATTTCTGAGAGCTCCTTCTTCTGGTCCGCGGTGAGGGCTGGGAATTTGTGGGCCATGGTGACAGGTCTGGAAAAGAGTGCAGGAGAGTCCTCAACAGAACTGAGGGTGGCTCAGGTGGACTCATGACTAAGGCAACTGGGTGTGCAGACTAGCCCTACAGGCCCCTCTGCCATTACAAGTGCATGAACAAATGAGATCTGAGGGGGTGTTTTCCCCCATAGCCTACGTAGATGCCATTAGCCATAATGGATGAAGATGGGACAGTAAATGTTCATGGTGATGCTAAATAGAATGCCTGCCAGGGCACCTTTGGGATGACTGTTCCTGAGACTGAACCAGCTAGTTAGTGACCCATCGCATCTGACAGGTAGATGCACTGCAGTAATTGGCTTTCTACTCCGTGGATTTCTGGTGCCATCAGGTACCCTGGCTTGAGGCCAGGACAGTGAGGCTTTTGGCCTTTTGTGGCCATTTTCCACTTCGTTCGGTTAGCCTATAGCCCACCAGAATACTTGGTGATGATACCATCAAGGTACCCCAAATCCTTGGACTGTAGATCATTATCCCCACACCACTGACATTACCAATTCATAAGCATCTGACACACATTTGCTGCTAGGAGAGCAAATAGACCTGGTTCAAGGACAGGCTCTGCCTCCCCTGGCTGGGACCATGGGCAAAGCGGTAATTTCTGAGTCTGAATTTATTATGGATTAAATGGTAGTAATATCTGCTCTGGTTGTCTCATTGCCAGATGGATCACCTGTGACCCATAAGCACTCTACTCATTGTGTTTGCTCAAAATAAAACTGTCGAATTGCGTGATAAACATGAAGATGCTTTATAAAACATTATGAAAATGTAAGCTATTATTATTATTTCCTTTTTGACTGTTTAAAACAGAATCACCTAAGGGACTCCCATGTTTCTATTTGTCACCAAGCTATTTTCTTCAGGCCCAGTGTGCTGACTCAACCAGAAAAACCAAGAGAGGAAAGGTCGAATCAACCCAAATCTGTTTATAGGAAGTTAAACTTCTACAGAAGGATTAAAGGTCTGTACCACATCAGCACAAATGTTACCCGTCTGTTAATCATAAATCAGGGTCACAGGCCAATGTCCACCACGGGGGACAGGAAGCCAGCGGGAGTGGGGATGACAGAGTGTGATCTCTATGCCCCTGGCCTCTGCTCACTGAAGTCTCGAGTCAATATTTTTTAAAGTGCGATTGGAAATTGTTCACATCATATTATTAAGTGGGGAAAAAATCCAGTGTCAGAGAAGCATGCAATATATAATATTCTTTTAAAATTAAAAACATAGTATACACACATACCATCTGTACGTCTATATAAACAGGGAAGTACCACCCCAGGGTTACCCCTAGGGAATGAGACGGGGTGGAATGACTCTCATTTTTTTTTAAAACTTTTTTGTGTTTGATTTCTTACTAAACAGGGTTACGTATTACTTAATTTATTATATGTATTAATAATAAAGTAACAGGTGATACATGTTTAAATCTGAGAGAAGGTTGTGAGTATGTACATATCTGAACAGAAGGTAACCACAGACAAACAGAGCTGCCAGGGACCTCTGAGCACCCTGTATCAACCCTGCCAACGTGAGAAACGAGGAGACAGAGGCCCAGAAAGAATATGTCTGATGCCCCTTCTAAGTTGTGATGTTTAGGTTTATAAATCACATCTGATTGGTGTAGAACTTGGAATCCTAATCTCCAATCCTTCTCAACAAAATAACAGAAAGGACCCTACAGTGTGACTCTTTCTGCCTCCCTGAGAGAGGTTCAGTGGAAAGATAATAATTTGTGAAATATGTATGTTCAACTTCTGGAGAAGTAGAAGGCAGTGTAGAGTCCATTTGCTTCTCCACGTGCAAGGCGGATGGATTTGCAAGAAGACAGTCACCAGGGGCTTATTCTCTGGAAGCCTGTGCTGGTCAGGCACTGTGAGCAGCACTTTTATGTACGGATAGAAGATGCTCACAGCCTCATCCTTCAGCCCAATGCTACCATGGCAAGGGCAGTGAGATGCTCTGCCAGCCTGAACCCTGGTGCCTGTGAACACCGTGCAGAGAGAGAGGGCTGCCCTTTCCTTCTAAATAGGCAAGGAACTCCTAATAACTACACTCCATTCCCCGGCCCGGCACCTCAGGTCCAGCCTGGGCCTGGTCTTCCACGGAGACACCTTGGCCAACACAATGATGGCAACAGCTTCCCAATTGGCTAGTGAAGCCCTAGGCCACCATTTAAAGTCAAGTTTATTTTAAAAGGCATCATATCTTCACAAGATGCTGTTTTTGTTTTTATTTTTTAGAGAGAGAGTGGAACAAATACATCAGCAGCTTTTGGTTCCAGATATCTTAAGCTTAACGCCTTCGAGGTGCTTGGTGCCCCAAAGTAGGGAAATGTTGTAGAAATCATCAAACCAGCGGTAGGTTTGAGGATTTATAATCAGATGACAACTCTGCTCTGTGAGGTCTCCAAGCCTGTTCCTTTTTCTCATCTGAGCAGTAGATGAAGGCCAAGGGCAACCAATACCCATCAGAGTCCATTTCTGTGACAAAGAAACTTCCGTGCTCACACTAGTCCGTGTGGGAAGAGAATGAAGAAAGTGACAGATACGTAAATAAATCATCAAAACAAGCAGTGGTTGTGGAAAGAGTGGAAATGAGCCGGCATCTCAAAAACTGAGTAGATCCTAACCCCGTGGTCAGCGAAACTGCGGCTCGCGAGCCACAAGTGGCTCTTTGGCCCCTTGAGTGTGGCTCTTTTGCAAAATACCACGGCCTGAGCAAGTCTATTTTGAAGAAGCGGCGTTAGAAGAAGTTTAAGTTTAAAAAACATGGTTCTCAAAAGACATTTCGGTTGTTGTACTGTTGATATTTGGCTCTGTTGACTAATGAGTTTGCCGACCACTGACCTAACCCAGTGGGTGCATTCGGGTTATTTTTCCCAGGCTAAGACTCCAAAGAGCCCTCAGACAGGTAACACTGGAAACAGCAGCAACCTTGAGCAGTTTGCTGCCAGGAAAGGTGTGAAGGAAAACAAACTTTTCAGCAGCTCACCAGTGTTTTCAGCCACCTTCCTGTTTTTCCTGGAAACAAAAGCAAGCAGACTTTCCCCGGTGCAAGCTTTCATTAACCCCTTAATCCCTGGTGCAATCCAAGTAGAGAAAAGAAGTTCTTTTACTTACAATTTGGGAGCAGAGTGTCCTCTTAGAGATCAAAAGCCGTGGCTGAGGCAGCAGCTGCCAAATAGGACGAATGTTTGGGAACACTCGGCTTTTATAGATTTCTCATCAAAGTTGTGTGGTATGTGTGGTTTTTTTTCTTCCTTTTGCCCTCCCCTTCCCACCTTGGCCTAGTGGGGAGGTTCTTATCTAATACCTCTGATTGGCTCATACACAGCCAATCCTTGTCATCATGCTCACATATTCATTGTATGTGTTGTATGTTAAAGCTACAAGGGCTATCAGCAGACCATGTAGTTCTTACTCCAGACTCTTCATCTGACTGTGAAGACACTGAGGCACAGAGGAATAGTCAAGCAGCTAATGCAAGGCTGAGCTCTAGAATCCATAGAGGGAATTGGCAAGAATGTTAGCTGAGCTCCATCACTTAAAAAAAATACATGACCTTGGCCAAGGTTGCCTTTATTTCTCTGAGCCTTACTTTTCTCTTCTGCAAAGTGGCATCACAACTTTACAAGAGAATTCTGTAAGTTTCTAAAGTGTCTGCATCCAGGAGCACCCCTTTCTTATGCCCTAAAACCAAGCAGGGGTCCCTAGTGTTTTTAATGCCCAACACTGCCTTTATTTTCATTCTCTCTCAAATTTTACATTTTTGTCTTACAGTTGGTAGAGACTAGAATAAAACTCAAAGTGACTGATTTAAGCCATCATCTCCCCTAGAGATGGCACAGTCCGGGTAAGGGTTCATTCCACAGTTTTTCACTTGAGCATTAACACAAAATCCAAATCAAGAGAAGGTAAATAAGATATGAGGTGCTTCCTGAGTGAAATAATGAACGAAGCAAATAAACCTTATGGGGAAATGTAAAAACAATGAAATCTATTTATGATCAATGAAGCATGATCAGAAGGAAAGTCTAAATTCTCAGGAATATATTTCTTTGGGATCATTCATAAAATGAGGGGAGGTGGAGTCAAAGTGCTCGATGGTTTTGAGTGTGACATTAGAATTTATGAGTGAACAAGGGAAATGTCAAAGAAATGAAGGAAAAAGTATGGGAGAACGAGGTTGTCTAAATAGAGTTTAGGGGCCAGATAGCTTCTAAAAGTGGGTAGTGTTAGACATCGAATGTGATTATTAAAGGAAATTAAAATGTGTGAAACACAAAATTGAGGCTCATTTGTCTGGAGAAGTCTTGGCCACAGCCTGTCATAAGGACGGTGGAGGGCTAGGCCAGGTAGAACTCCCATCAGCCCTCCTGAACCCACTTGCCACCCAAAGGCATTCTTTCTGGTTTCCCATCCCCACCTGCTGCTCATTCCAGCATCCCGTGCTTGATTGATCAGACCCAGATGACCCAATCTGGGGAGGTTTCATCAGGTTTTATTTTGCCAGAGAAGATGGAGGAAGTAGAGAAGGACGGTGGTGAAAGAATGGAGTGTGGGGTGAGTGACAGGCTGGGGGTCAGGACTTGGGCAGTTGGAATTGTGACTAAAAACAGTCCACCCGCCGAGAGCTGCATGGTAAAAACAATTTCACTTATGCTACGAATACTAATTATTCTTGTTGTGATAGTGACAGCAATAACAATAGCTCATTTTTTTTTAGGTCCTATGATACATTGAGTTCTTTTTATAGATATCTCCAATCTGAGCCCATGTCTGAAATTGCATGCTTTCTGGATAAGGAAACTCTGGTGAATTGTCATAAAGAAATAAGAACATTTAAAAAAAAAAAAAAAAAAGAATGGCTTTGAATCTTAGTATTTATTGAGAAGGGCTAGTTGAATACTTTAGAATTTTCTCTAGCCAAATTATTGTTTAGGTAGACCTCTCAACTGCTC